AATTGCTTCCTTGCGGGATAGATCCAAAGTCCTGGAGTGGGAGTTGCTGTGCCAACCCTCCCAGGCTCTGAGTCAGGTCCAGACATGCTAAAACCGGCACGGGCTGTACCTGCTTATCGAATACAACATCAGGGCGACAGCATCAGATCAGCCTAGCTTCCCTCTTCACGCTTTCCCTTTTGCTTTAGTACTGTGGCTACACTAGCATCAACAGGCTTGCAATGGCCAGGAGTCTTTGAAACTTCCACATTGATCCTGGGGTTTATACTTCAAAAAAATAAATTAAAATCCCTAAAATGATCAAAAACATTCAAGCTGTGTGCAAAAGACTCAGACAGGTCAACACAGTGCGTAAAGGAAGTCCGTTTGTTACAGAAAGCATTGAGCAAATTAAAAATATTCCTAACAGGATCAAACCATTCTGGTGTGTGCAGCCCGCTGGCAAATGCAGGAAGAGGACAGATGAAAGAGACATTCTTTGGAACCAGAGAAAATGGGCAGGTTAACGGAAGAAAGGAGAATTCGCATTGACTACTGTAATGCCAGGACACATGGGAACAGTAGGGAGAACATTTGCTGCTGAACAAATAAAGTCGGCATTTAGATATATTTGTTTTTAATTCAATCTAGGCAAAAGCGGACCTCTACATTATTGTTTTTCCCCTTTCAGTGGGAATTCTTCTCTCTTCTCCAGCAGCAAATCCAAAAAATGTGGCCAGAGGAGGACCATCTCTACCTCCTTCCCCCTATACCCTACCAAGTGTTCTGCCCTCTGATGTACTGTGTCGATCCAGGTCCACAGCACTGAGGCGCTGCTTGGAAAGGGACTATCAGCTGACAGATAGGGCACTGGAACGGATCAGTGTGTCCAGCCCGATGACAAACCCATCATTAGTTCATAATAAATTAGCAGCAATGGTCTCCCACTTTGCGAAGTGGTCCGTTGGGTTGCTCGTTGTTTTGCAAAAGTCACTTAATAAATGATTTTTGCTCCCGATAGAGCCATTTTATTGTATTAAAAGAAAAAATAATCTCATGGCACATGGAAATTTCTTCTTTGGATAACAATCCAACTTTGGAGTTTAACTGTGTGCAAGTTCATTATTAAAGAAAAAAAAAAGAAGTTTCTTAATTTGCTGCTTGTGTCTTTTGATGAAGGTCGGAGAAGCGTATGCACTTTAAAAACAAAATTATAAAAAACTTTAAGGAAAACCTATATGCATTTGAAAAATGTGCTGAATTTTTGTAATATTTCTAGTAAAAAGGAGAAAAAATCAACCCTAATTTTCCAGTGACACACACTGTATGTCTAAACTCAGCTGCAACTTAAAGAGACCGGCAGCCTCAGAAGAGAGGAGGAACTGAGGTTTTAAAATTAAATAAAAAATAAGGAGGATTTTTTTTTATGTTGACTCTAGGTTCAAAAGGTGCTGGCAGATTTTTCATGAATAAGTTCACTAACAGCATGATCCAAAAAATGCACCAAATTTAACCAGACGATCTCCAGTGACTTACGCAAAATGGGAATCAAATGGTAGGTCTGAATATATTTCTCTTCCACAAATGAGAAATTACTTAATCATTATATCTGGTAATAATCATCAAACAGGAATACGGGAATTTTTAAATAGAAACCAACAGCTGCCTCTTTTATATTCTCACTATTTATCTTTTCCCCATTAACTACTGTTCGCTCTCATAAACCACAAGGTACAGAACATGTCCCTTTTCCTCCAATATTTAAGACAAAAAAAGGCAAAAAAAAAAAATAGTCCTGCCCCAGATGCTTGAATTTTGTGGCTGATAACAACAGGGAACCACAACCTCATCGGCGAGCGGTCGCGACCCAACTTTTCCGCCGCGCTCAGAAAAGCGGCACAGCACAGAGCTACACGCACCCAAGACGAAATCACCATCCAAATTAAGTAGTTTCCAGCAGCAGAATATCAGTTTCCTAGCAGGAACAGGAGGGTTGCCGCTGCTCTTACCAAAAACTTCCAAACATACCATAGGAAATCTCAGCTGGGCATCGGGAGCAAGCCAAGCACCATCCCTGGGACCATATAGGGTAGCCAATGCGAATACGATGGCAACTTGACAGATTGGGAACAACTATTGCGTGAGGTGCTGCAGGGATAACCTAAGAGGGAAAATATCGGATTCTATTCCCTGTATCCAACCGGAGGTGTGGAGCCACGGCCGCTACATCACGACATGGTCACTAGAGGTTGGTGACCCAAGGTGGCATTCGTCCCCGCAGAGGACATTTGTCACCAGCTATGGAGCTGCGCGGAGGGAACGAGGGAGGGGACACGGGACAGGGGCTCCAGCACCCGCATTGGCCCCGCTATGGGGTTGGCAAGGCCCAGAGCAGCTAGTAAAAGGTCTGAAGCTACTACCCCAAGCCTTGGCTCTTGGCCGAGAGGCAAACTAGCCTTCGGGGAACCACGACGCACTGATTTTGCACTGGGATTTTGTGCACGCAGAAGTTTTCGCACTAGTGTTTGTCCTTGAAGGGAAGGACGACACATGAATGATGAAAAATAGCTACTAATGCTTTGGTTTTTGTGGAGGTCCCACTAGGAGATGCTGAGCCTGGAATAAGATGGATCACTGGGCAAGTTCTTCCAGATTCCACTACGTTTCCAGGTATAGACAAGCCCCTAGCCAAAGCCTTTAAGTTTGACCCCTAAAAGCTGAAGTCCAAGTTGGAGCTACCTGCTCCCCCAGCCTTTGAGACAGGCTGAATTCTGCACCGCGACTTCAAAAGGTAGATCTGCTCTTTGCTTTTCATGGCTATGTAAAGTGTCAGGCCACTTTCTTAAGGGCCTCTCTTGGTTTCCTAAGCTATTGCTGTTCTTGCAGTGCTTTGTGTATCCCCGATGTGACACATTGGATCACAAGAGTGCACCAAGGGACAGAGGCATCAGGCACAGCCTGAACCTTGCAAAAATTTCCCCTTTCACTGGGACAGAAAAGATGCAGTATTAGCCCCATCCATCAGTCAGACTGAACATGAAGAACCAGCATTTCCAACCCGTCACTCCTCCATACGGGATTTAGGCCAGAAAACACCTCTTTCCTGCCTAGCCCCTCAGACCCGGTGGCACTGGCACACTCTGCACCACCCACAATTTGCAACAGGGATACAAAATATTACACAGCACTTGGCCAAAACCAAGCACCTTCTCCCGTTGCCGCAAAGCCCCACGACCTTGGGCTGCGGCTCCGGCTATAAAGCAGGTAACGTCTATACCTCTCCAGCAGCGTAAACCACCGCATGAGGCATCAGGAAAAAATCCGCAGGCATGTTAACAGCTAGGCACATTTTTGAGAGAATCTAAAATTACCTGAATGTAAATTACTCAAATCGGGGGCACTTCTCTGCAGCGCAGAGCGCAGCGGCACCATGACAGGCAGCGCTGTCTCCCCGCTGCTCCCTCGAAAGTTGGATCTTTCACCATATCGGCAAAAGAGAAAAAAAAAAGAGAACTTTTTTTGTGGGGTTGCCCCTGTGATCATCTATTTCCATGCGATTCTATTTCTGTGCCATTTTAAAGAACCAGGGGCATCTCCCCAGCCATTTGCAGCTCTGATTTCCTCGGCTCTGAAGAGTTCAATCAGCTTGAACTCTTTGTCAACCCTGACGAAGTTAAATATATTTAAAAAAAGTCTTTATGGGGAAATCTACAATGTTCTGAAATTACCTCTGCTAACTTTTTGTTTCCTTGCTGTACAACTGCAGTCCATGGTCAACCATGCTGTGTTTTCCAGGGGCAATAAAAGCAGGTGAGCAGAAGTGCAAACAGCACTTACACACGCAAAGCACCAAATCCTCTGCCTGCAACGGGGCAGACAAAACTCTTTTTGTCTTCTCCTGCCCACCGTGGGCTTTTGGGGGGCTCCACCAGCTCCCAGGTCTGCTGGAATAACGCACCTCCATGAGGTCATCCGAATCCACGCAGTGCTGCCCGACGCCCGCAGCTCAAAACTGAGTCCCCATTGTAAACCTCGCCTGGAATCCAGTCCTACAGACCTTCAAGGTTATATATACTGTTTTCTTTTTCATTCAGCTTCCAGCAGAATCATTTTATAGTGCTTCTGCCTCCATAAAATATTTGCGCGGGAGCCAAGAAGGAAAAAAAATTTTAAAAAGCAGCACTCTAACCCAACGTGGGGCTCTCAGCTTCACGCTTCCCCCTCCTTGCCCACACTTAGGCAAATGTTTAAATCTTTTAATTGGGAGCTACGGGGCCCTGGCCCGCACTGAAGGATTTAAAGGTCTTTCACCAATTCCCACAGTCCCTGCACCCCGTGCTCCCACAGCGACACAGCCTTCTCCTTCATGGCCACACAGATCCACTTTGAGAGAATAAAACGCTTCCCCGTTTCCCGACAGCACCAGCCAAGGTATGTCCTGGGCCAGCAGTCTTGCAGCTTGGACCCCGTCGCTTGGGTTAAAGCACCTTCCTGCAAAAAAAACTCTTTTTTCCCACCCGTCGCTGCCAGGTCAATGCATTGCAATGTGTAACCTGTTTATGGAAATCTGATCAACAACAAGAGACCCAGCGGGAAAATACGGGCTGGCTGTTGGGAACTGTCATTTGTCTGTCACCGAGGACGCTAATGGACGCGTCTGTTCGGTTTGCTAGTGGGAACGCGCAGGGCCGAGTCCGGCGGGGCGGCTGCAGGACAGAGACACCCAAAGAAATGCTGGATTTCTTTAAAAACTACCCGGGCATTTTCACACGAACGCGCATGCCAGGGTCCTGGGAGTTCACCTGCGCTCGAGAAACCTCAGCAAGCCAAGCGCGACCGAGCTCCATCCGAAGCGATGACCGCACCGCGCAGGTAAGGAGGCGCGCGGGCCATGCCCAAAAAGCAACCCGTGGTGCCAGAGCCTGTGCCCATGGCAAGGCCCTCGTGGGGTCCCTCCCGACACACTCTCGGCTGTAGCAAGAGGAAGGGCGCGATCCGTGAGGCAAAGGCTGCTCTCTTACCTCTCGCCGAGGAGGAAAACGCAATTATCCCTGCGAGAAGGAGCGCGAGCTGCAATTCCATTTTGAAAAGCAGATCCCTCCGTATTGCACAGGCTACCGTCCTTCCAGACCTGCGGGGAGGAGAGAGGAGAGCAGCGTGATTACCAAAGCAAACAAAACAACGCCGAACTTTGCACACTCTGCAAGTCTGCAACAGAGGCGCGAGATGAGAAACGGCGAAGGAAACAGCTCCACATTTGCAATTTGCTCCTTGGCGAAACTTCGCCCTCCCTCGCCGCTCCAGCGCGATGTAAAGCAGGAATCCAGCGCGCTTAAAGCGGGTGCCCAATTCCGCGCTGTCCGGGACGGCACCGGGCAAACAAACCCGCGGCGAGCGGCCGCAAGACGGGGCAAGAGGAGGAGGAGGAGGAGGAAGGCACGGGCAGCCCGCGGAGCTCTCCGCTCCCCCTCCGCATCCCGCGGGGCC